CAAACCCGAATAAGAATTTTTGCTTACCTTGCTCAAGAGAAAAGCAAAAGTCAAAAATCAAAATTCATCAATTTTTTTTTTGGTTTCGAGGAAAAAAAGCTCTGAACTATCACACACACACACACAATGCAATGCGATATTGAGTGATGGTTCAGATCTCAGATATTATCAAAACGAAAACATTAATATTCCATAATGAGAATCCATATTATAACAAACGAAGAAACGAAAAAAAAAACGCTTCACGGAAACGGAAATGTTTCACACTCTAATGAACTGTATCTGCTTTTTTTTCTTTTTCAACAAAAAAAAATCCATAGCTCATTGTTGTCGCTGCAGAATCTGTATCTGACTAGAATCTTTTACTTCCTGACCATAAGAATTTCCAAAAAATGAATGAATGAATGAATGAATGTGGATCCAGTATGCAGAGATAAATGTTATTTCACAAAAAATTATATACTCTACACATTTTTGACTATGAAGGGAAATTCACTGTAAACAAAACAAAAAAATCGATTCTCGACCACGATGATGATGATAGGGAATGTTGTAATCAACTTGGCCGAAATCATTTCGCTCTCTCTCTCTCTCTCTCTCTCTCTCTCTTTCTCCTACTTTTCACAAACACAAACCTAGAATATTTTTGATAAACAGGCACGTGTCAAACTGAGCCTATAGAACAACAACAACAACAACAAGAATAATCAAACAATTCAGTCATCCGTCCACTAAACACACATAACAATTCAGTCAACCAGCTTTAAGCTGTTGAAATTTTCAATGAACCTTGGATATTATTATTTTTGTTTTGCAGTTCGTTTTTTTTTTCGTTTGGGTTGGCTTTTTTTTCGATCGAAATTTTCAACCAAAAAAAAAGTGATTGATATGAAAACATTGGTTGATGGTAAATAAAAAACAAACTCTGAAACTATCTGAACATGGAAGGTTCTGAATTTTCCTGATTGGACTTACCCTATGTCGTTGATGTCGTTGATGACGAAGAATTTTTCTCGGAAAGAATCATCAAATGAATGAATGGAATGTTCACATTTGTCATTCATTAATTCATTCACAGAAACACAGAAAAAATCGACCAAATGAGCAAAAGAATTGGCTGAAAAAATAACCGAAAAATGATTCATAAATTCCAACGAATAAGGTAACAAATCATTAACAAACCGCACACACAAATAAAAAACCGGGAAAACTTGGTTCATTTAAATGTTTGCGCGTTTGTGATGTGTTCACATTCAGAATGACAATTCAAGAATACATTCAAGAATTCATTTTCATCAACGACCAGAATTTTGAAAACATTATGTGTGTGGTGTGTTTCATTTTTCATTTGGATTCCCTCTCTTTTTTTTGCATCCATTCGTTTTACAAAGTGGTAGTAGTAGAAATGATAATCGTAGTAGTAGCAGTAATAGTAATGGATGTTTGTATCCGGTTATTTCCATTCCGGTAACTTTGTTCTATGCTACTACTACCTACTGGTATCTATGAATGGTATCAGTTCTTATCGGACCAAAACGAAAAAAAAACATTCGAAATGTATGTGGTAGCAACACGACGAATATTCTTTATCGACAATAACAACAAAATTGCAATTCTGTATTCTTTGGTTGTTTAGATATATAGAAACTATTCAATTCTATTTGATGATGATAATGATCAGAATCGATAACCAATTTCAAATGATTCTTTTGTTTTTATTTTCGATTGGCCAAAAAAAACTGATTAACCAAAATAAAAATGGGCAATTTTCTCAAATTTCTTCTTAAAGTTCTTAAATAAATCATCCATTGATAATAATGATAATGATGATGGCCAATTGTCCAAAATTCAATTTCTTCTTCGTGATGATGATGATTATCAACAACAATCATCATATGGAAAGAACAAAATTTCAATTCGAAGAAAAAGAAAAATTGCCATTTCAAATGAAATGAATACATTTTCATATCTGAGGTTAATATTGTTGTTGTTGTCAGAATTTCATTTTTTTATCTTTTTTTATTTATTTATTTATATTTCAATTTTAGATATCGATATTCGGTATTTGGATTCATTCATTCATTTCATTCATTTTGTCTATCTTTCGCCTTCTTTTTTTTCCACTATTTCGAATTGAAATTGGGGGCGATGAACGAATCGAATCGATCGATCGATTTACACATCGATTGATCATCTCTCTATGTTGGTCTATATTTTTTTTCTTCATTCTTCTTTTTGATTCAATTCAAGTCGACAATCGTCGACAACAATGAATTCAACGGATTCTACCAGACGAGACAGACTGAATGACAATATCTTCTGCAATGACAAAAAGAAATTCTGTTTTTATTATTATTATTTTGATTTGAAATTCCAGATCATCATCTGAAGAAGAAGAAATGGACAATTGAATATGGATGAATTTATTGGCGACATTTTATTATCATTCCTGTAAAATGAAAATGAAATGTGTCAATCTTTTCTTTTTTTTTGAATTCAAACATTCACCACCGTTCAACAACAACAACAAACGATTCATTCGATTGATTTTTTTCTTTCCTGTTTTTGTGAACAAATTTCAATTTTGAATCTGTTATCTGCAACCATGGAGAAGAAACTGTAAAGATAATGTTTTGGGTAAAGTTTTATTGCTTCTTCCCCTCACTAAATATTCGAAACGAAAAAATGTTAATCGATTCGATCAATTTAAGGCCATTATTATTATCATTGTTGATTACGACAATGACATTTCGAAGATTGATCGAAATTCATTGAATTCTCTAATGAATTTTTTTTTCGTGGAGCATCACCGATAATATTAGATAATAAGATGGACCCGAACAACAACAGCAACAACAGAAAGAAAGAATACACAACTTTTTTAGCCATGTTTAATTTGATCTTTCTTTTTGGGCATTCAAATGATGCACAAAGAGAGAGAACCAAATGGCCGAAATATTCAATTGAAATATTGAAACATGTTTGCATAAATATTGAATATTATGCACAACAACATATATCGATATGACATGGTCGATTAAACATTTTCAATTCTCCCGTTTTTTTCCGATTGATCTCCTTTTATTCCCGAAGAAAAGTGCCTTATTTTTTTTTGTTATCTGGTAAATATGTTTCTTTTTTTGCTTATTTTTCATAAACAAATCACTGACCTTATCTGAAAACATGGATATATAAAAAAAGCCAAAGGTGATCCACCCATAAATGAAAATGAAATCAATAGAATGATTGATCATTGTGGATTTCATTGCATTCATTTTCTCCGTTTACTAAACAAAATTTTAGTTGTTACAGCGGGTGTGTGTATTTGCAGTTCGATAAGAATCGTCAGAATCTAATGAAATTCAACGAAGAATTTTTTTCCACTGGAAATTCTCATTTTTTTAAAAAAAACTTGATAACATAATTTTTAGCTTTTTTCATTAGCAACACCCTGAACAGAAAAAATTAATTTCCCTCAACCAAATTGAATAAATTATTCAGTGAGTTTCATTCAACAACAACAACAAAAAACCGACTGACATCATTATCATCACCACCACCACCACTACCATTGCATCTCACTTCAAGAACGAAAATTTTCAAATTAAAAAGTCTGAAAATGAATAATAGTCATCGATAGTCATCGTCGTTCACAACAACAATAATAGTTTCCGGGTAATATTTTCCATTTTGAAAATACTGAATGGAAATTCTCATTGAATCTAAGAATCTAAGAATGAAATTTTCATTGTTTTGGCCTTTTTTTATTTTTTGATTGTTTCCGTTAAAGTCAGCATATTTTTTCTTTTTCTCTGCTTTTTTAATAGCCACTTTCTTCCCAAAGATTCTCACTTATTTTACATATACAACCCTCACTTTTTTCAAGTAGTTTGTTCTTTTTTTCTACATTTTTGCATTCTTTTTTTTCCACCATTATTATATTTACTTAGGAAAAAAATTTCAACAACCAAAAACAACAACAGTAAGTAAGTATACTCACTGAAGATTATATGAAAAAAAATGGAGCTAATTTGCATATTTTATATTTATTTAGTTTTTTTCCCAAAAAACAAAAATCCTCCGTACATTTTTCAGGATTGTTGTTAGTGTTTCGGGTACATTATGCCATCACCGGTATATAAAATGAAAATAAAACATTGTTGAGCAAAAAAAACAATTGAAAAAAATATCGACTACTATGCTGTGGTTATTTTGTCCATTTTGTGTTTAGTTTAGAAAATCAAATCAAATCTGAAACCTTATTTTTTCGTGATTTTGAATTTTTAGAAAAAAAAAATTTTTCAACTACATTTCTTCTTTATTATATTCTATGTCCAAACATACAAAAAAAAATGTTTGAAATGAACAAACAAGCGGGAAAAAAACTAACAAAACAAAGAAGAAAAATGATTATATACGTTAAATAGGTTGAATGAAGAATTCCTGTATCAGGCCTGATATTCTTTCTGATTCTGTTGCCATTCTGTTTGTGATTCAAGAATCGGACAACCAATATATATTGTTGTTTTCAGAGAAAAACAAAACAAAACACATAACATGGTTATATGGAATTATTATTTTTTGTTTTTGGAAGGGAAAAATATAATGAAATGAAATGAAATATATCCAATTTCTTCTTCTTTTTCATATGTTTTTCTCATTTCATATTATGTTTTTCAAACAAAACAACGAAGAGGGCAAAATCTTTTCCATAATAATATGAATTTGTATGGACAACAACATAACACGAATTACATATGAAACACACACATACAGGAAAATGAAAAAAACAAAATGAAAAATGACCTCTGAAACTGATTCAACAAAGAAGAATTTTACATTACATGTTTTTTTCATATGCAAAAAAATAAATCCATATTTTAGATATGATATGACATGACATTCAACAAAACTGGTGAATATTTTTCTGTTTTGTTTTGTTTTGTTGTTTGAATTCAACCAGATATTCACTCCTTTTGTTACCGAACAAACACAACAAACAAAAATAATCATTTAAAGTGAGAGATTATCGCGTTGATGATTCGTAGTTGTAATGTCAAAGTTGTAAATTTCTTCTTTTGTTTTGTTTTGCTGTGTTTTTATTCGGGAAATTTAAATTTTCATGTTTTTTTTTGTTTCGATTTTTCATCCCAGCTATTTGGCTATGGCGGTTCTTTTGGACGAATTCAACGTATTCATATTCAACAATTATGGTCACAAATGTTGGAATATATTCTTGCCATACGACAATCTACTAATCATCATTATTCATCACAACAATTATATCAAGTAAGCGTAGACATTTAATTGTTTTTTTTTTCGTGCTTTCCAAATTCTTTATCGAACGCAAAAGAATAGGAAAATTTTGCCTTTCGATGCAAAGTTGAATAGTCATTTTACAAATAGTCATTGCATTATTATTCCTGTTTTACTTCGTTTGCCTACGAAAAAGAAACAAAAAAAATTAAAGCAGACAAAAATCGACAAATTGAATTTGAATTTTTAGTTTTTTGGCTCGGTTCTTTTACTTTTCTTCTTTACTTTACTTTTTTTTCGTCGAAACAAAATCTAAATTTTATTTTCCATTTTCGTTTCTTTTTTCTCGACAAAACCAGGTCTCATTGGCTACGATACTGAATGAATTCGCACAATTAAAGTAAGTTGTTTTTTGTTTCGTTGAATTTCTTCTTTTGCTTTTTCCTCATTCTTTAACTCATTTTTCACCGTTATAAACAAAATTCTAACGAATGAATTTCGGTTCATGATGATCATCATTATCATTATCGTCATTGTTGAAAATGATAATTTTAAAATGATTTTCCTCAACGAAACGAATCAAGCCAATTACAATTGGACAGAAAACAATAGAAGCCAGAAAAGCTGAACAAAACGATGAGATAATCGAGTAGCAGAGGAAAAAAAATCGATTCATTTGGAAAATTTTCGAAGTGATTTTTTTCCTTGCAAAAAAAAAATATTTAAATCCTTGAAAACTTGAATCGATGAAGATGATAAGATGAGAGACCAACAACAACAACAACAAGATCCTCATCATTATCATCATCATTGGAAAATACAATGGATATTTTTATAAAAAAAGATGTGAATGAAGAGAGAAAAGCGATTCTTGAAAAAAGTTGACTTGAAATGACTTGATGGCCCCCGAAAATCGATAAATTCGATTTAGTCATTAAAATCCAAGAACGACATAAACAAAAACAAAAACAAAAAACTTTTGAAACATCAACGAATCCGATGAAGTGAAAATAGAAAAAAAAACATTTCGATGATGATGATGATGATCCATATTTAATTGGAACGATATTATCGTTTTTTTGCCGTTTGTTAGTTAGCTATAGCTAGAATGAGATAAAGATTAGCAAGATAAGCTTTTGAGCAATCTATTTTGTCATTTTGAGATTTTTATCTTTGTTTTTTTTGTCAAAAAAAACAATGTTGTTAATCAACTTAATCAATTGGGGGAGGGGAAGCGAGCTTTGTTCTGTGAAATTCAAATTCCGAGATTTTACAGCGGAAAAACTATCTGAGAGAAAAAAAAACTATTTTAAAAATGACTTTACAATTTTTTTTCTACAAAAAATTCGCGAATCGATTAGTTATTTTATTCGGGTTTAAATTCTGTGTTTCAGATTCTGTGTGTCATTATCATTCTCTGGGATAATTTATCCACCATTGCCATTTTTTTTATCGATCAAAGCAGCTAAGATTGAATCAGATGAATCAAGAGAGAATTTCACTGATGGTGAGGAAAAAATGAAATTCTCTTATCTTTTCTTTTTGAAAATGACGACAATATTCTTGGAGAAAATTTTTTTTCAAAATTCTGTTGCTCGACATGGACGACCAAAGTTTGTTTTTTTATTTTTAAGTGCAAAAAATGATGGGAAAAAGAAAAACTTTTCAATATCCAAAGAATCTTTTTTTTTTGGTCAGAATTTTTGGTTATGCTAAGAATTTTTTCATTGGTGCATCCATCATTTGTATTGTTAAAATCGGAAAAAAATGAAAGAAAAAAAGCTGTACAACATTTGGCTCATTTGAATTTCAATATAACAACGATTTGGCCATTTTTTTTGGGTAGATTTGAATACATTTCGTGAAATTTATTCTTAACTTTTAATAATCATAATCATTATTTACAGATATATACACAATGTTTCCATCGTGAGAAGAAAAAATCTGTTTCATTTCTCATTTCACATTTTTTTCTTTTTCGTTTCTCAATTTTCTTTTTCCTATTTAGAATTCAACATGATCAAATGATTGGTAAATGTGAACGTTTAGAATTACAATTAGAACAGGCTAATTGTCGTGCAGAATTTTTAGCACAAGAAGTTGATGAACAACATTTACGTTTAGAGAATGCATCGAATACAAAATTGGCGTAAGTTTTTTTTTTGTTTTTTTTTTTGATAAAATAATGATGATGATTAGCAGTTTGAACCAAAGAAAATCGATTAATCGAATCTTTTCTTTTCTTTTTTTCTTTACTTGATTCGATTCTGGGCGTGTACCCCCACGCGTTATTGATGATGGTGATTAACCGAATTTTACTTGCTCGTTTGTTTGCTGTCACTGTCATTGTCTTCATCATCCAAACACACGCATCACTTATCGGGAAATCGATATCAACTACCAACCATCAACTGCCATCAACTATCAGTACATTGGAGAAAAAATATCAAGATCAAATCAAATTATTGGAAATGGATTTTTCACGTGAAAAAGAAATTATGATCATACAATCAAACCATCTGCGACAAGATATTGATAAACAAATGAACACTGTTAAAGAACAATTATCAAAATTTCGTTCAAATATTAAAATATTGGAAGAGGTATATACATACTTTTGACACAAACACCAAAAGAACTCAAAATCTCTATAGGGAGTAAAAGTGTTGAATTTTTTGTTTTCAACCAGAATTTTCCAACCATAACCAAGCGCCTCGTTAATAATTTTTTTAAGGATGAAAAAAAGAGGTTTTCGATATAGAGAAATCGACACTTTAACGAAAAAAAAATCGATTTTTTTTTCTACCAAGTTAAATTACATATGGGCCAAACTTGACTAACAGAAAAACGTAACGAAGGATAACACCCGACCCACCAACAATGTTCACACACATTTAGTGGCTCAATTCTGTAGAATGATCCACAAACAATGAGTTATCGGGTCCTTTCGTTTTCGTTGTTGTTGTTTCCGCCAATCATTTCAATCTTAATCAATCATCTCGTTTTTTGTTGTTGCTCAATTCAACAAAATCGATCGATTTTTGATAGTGTGTTCGAACGTCATTGTCGATCAATGTGTGCAGTTTAGTTTTTCGTTTTTTTTCGCTATTATCAATTTATTAATTTCACTTTTTGACTATAGTTTTTTTTGTTGTAATTTGGCCCACTTTTTCTTCATTATTATAAATAGATTTGACTTATTGATTTTTTTGTTTTGTTTTGTTTTCCATTGTAATTGTCAGTAATTTGTTGTTGTTAGTTGTAAAATAGTGTTTTCGACTATTTACACCCATCATTATTTATCCATGTGGACTTTGATGATGATCATCATCATTTCGACAAATAATGTTGTTGCGCAAAATTCTTGTTTGTTTTTAAAAGATTTATTAATCGATTTTTATTTTCACAATTTGAAAAAGGAAAATAAACGTCTGGAAAATGATTGTCAGCTAATAAAATGTCAGAATAGTGAATTGATAAAAAATTTCATGGATATACAACGTCATGTTGAAGAATCGGATCATTTAAATGCAAAAGTTTGTATATTTTTTTTCAAAGAAAAAATAATTTGTTTGATTAACTGCCTGTTTTTTTTCATTTCATTTCATTTGTTTAATGTTTGTGAACAGATTGCCGAATTAGAATCAATGGAAAATGCACAGGATCGTAAAAATATTGAACAATTAATGAATGAAATGGAAAAATTAAAAGAACAGAACAAGGTTAGTTTTTTGGTTGTTTGTTGTTTCTGTTTTACTGTTGTTGTTTTTTTGCCCATTTTCTCTGTATTACTATGCAGCGATTACAAGATCAGAATGATGAATTGTTAATAGAAAAAGAATCGTTAAGACAACAGCTGGCTACATTTATTTTGGCCTCATACCAACATCAACAACAACAGAATTCGAACCAACAAACAAGTCAACAACAACAACAAACGTTATTAACAACAACAACAGCAGCAAATCAATCATCGATCTTTTCATCATCATCATTTACACCAGAATCAATTATAATGGCTCCTACTGATGAAATAATGATGATGATAGAGTCTGGTGGTATATTGCCTAAATTCCCTTCGATTACAACAACAACTGGACGAAGTAAAAAAAGAAAAAGACGTCGTCGTAGAAAAAAGAATAAAAATAAAACTATTACACCGAATAATAATGATAATGAACAGATAGAAATGAATACAACAGTCAATGTGCAAATCGATAATAATAATAACAACGACATGAACCATAATCATGATGATAAGGATAAAAAACAAGATAATATCGTTGATACATCAATGTCTAGTGACAATATTTCAACGAAAACTAATCCTAAAACTGAAATAAAACCAATGATGAATAATACTGGACGACTAACGGAAGAAGATCAATCATCAACATTTTCAACAATAACGACACATGGTGATGATTTTGATGAAGATGATGATTTGGATATGGATGACGATATGGATATTGAAGATGATTATGATGATTTTCATCAACAGACGGAGTTAGTATCGTCATGGACATTTAAACAACGGCATAAACGAATCAAACAACCAAATTCAAATATGTATGAAGAAGCCGTTGAGGAAGAAGGAAAACTTGATGATCTCGATGATAATGATGATGATGAGGATGATGATGAAGATAATCTACAAACTTTGATACAAAATCATCCATCAACAACATATATACGTAGTTTATCTGATGAAATAAATTTCGATCGTAGTCGACCAATTTTTGCCAATCAACCTGATCAATCATCATTGGAAAAAAATTTACAAATGATTCTAAATCAAATTATTCAAGATAATCATTCAATCAAAGAAAATAATGATGATTTTTCATCACGTATTTTCAATGATAATGATAATGAAATGATTTTAAAACGAGCATTACGACGTATTGAAAATGCATTGAAACAAATCGATAATAATAATAATTCCAATGATGATCAATTGATGGTGGTGGATAAACAACAATCATCATCAATATCACAATTTGATCACAATAATAATCCTAATCCCTGAGGATTTTCTCCAAACAAAAACAACTCATTCACTTTAGCTTTGATCATTATTTTTTTCAAAAAAAAAAGAAAAACTTCCCGGTAATTTTTTTTGTACGAGTTTTATTGCATTATAATGTTGTACAATAATAATAATAAAAAACGTTTTTTTTAGTAAAATCTTGTTTTTGTTGTCGTTGATTTCATTGAAACAATAATAAAAAAGAAAGAAAAGAAAATACAATGGAGATCAATTAAAAAAAAACAAAATAATTAAATTAAATTATATGATGGATGTTTGTATGTATTTTATGCTTTTCAATGTGCGTATGTTGTTTGTTTGTTTGATTGATTTTTAGCATAGTGAAAAAAAGTGATAAAAATTTCAGATTATAAATGTGTGAATATGAATGGGATGGAATGGAATGGGTCAAAATGCCCAAAATCCATGAGATTGAATATATGAAATATTGAGAAATCTGTTCATAGAACAGTTACATTTGAAATTATTCTATACATCCTTCGAACAACAAAAAATTTTTTTTTCGAAATGGAAGGATATATGGTAAAAAAACAAAAAAAAAAGTGTGGAACAAAAAAAAAATTCCACACAATTTGTAAGGCACATACCTTACTACATGTGTCACAAAAACACAAAACCGACCCCCAAACTTACAAATTGGATGATGTTTTCACAACAAACGAATAATACCTTCGTTGTTTGTTTAAAAATGGAAAAATATTGAGATTATCCTTGAAATCTAGTAACTCTAAACATAAGGATAACTCAAAATATGGAAATACATAGGTATTTACAGCAAAAAAACCTTTGATGACCATTTACAGGGCATAAGGTTGACAAAATTGATAAACTAAACGTTGTGCACGTTCAGTTTTTTTCATTATACCTTTTTTATAATATTGTCTTATTGAACGTGATAATTTATCATAATTCATAGCCGGACGATTTTTTCGTTCACCCCAAAGCCTGGCAACACGAACCGAATCTTCAATTTTGAATACACCACGTTGTCGTTCTAACCAACGAATTGCATTTTCATGTTGATTTGGTTGTGATAATAGTTCACGAAGAAATTGCCATAATTGTATCGATGTTGTTGAACCATGTGGACGTGGACCATTAAAAGTTGATTGTTTGGTTGTTGTTGTTTTTGTTGATAGAGGTGAATTGGTTTTTGATGATGTTGATGATGATACAGCAGAAATCATCACACGACATTTACCATTGATTGGATCATCATCGCTCATTATTTCATCTGATTTCAACAAAAAAAAACAAACAACCAGTTAATTTTTTTAAAAAAAAGGATAAAACAAAACAATTTACCATCACTTCCATATTCGCTTGTAATAATTTGTTGTTGTTGAGGATATGCAGAAAAAATATTTTCCTGATATCCTGAATGATCAACATTTCCATAAACATTCTGTTGATATGAGGTATATGAATTTTCTGGAAATTTTCTCTGATTCAAACCAATGATATGGTCGACTGATTGTTGTGATGATTGTTGAAATTGTTGTTGTTGTTGTTGCATATGATTGTTGGTTATGTAATTATTATTATTATTATTATTAGCCAATGATGTTGATGATGCGGCTGATGAAATACTACCGGCAGGTGATGAACAAGACAATAATGATCGTTGTGGTGAACTAGATGGACTATTTGAATATACCGAATTATTTGATGATGGATCATACAGCAAACGATTTGTATTTGATAATGATTGTGTATGATCATTTTGATATCCATCCATAAAATTATTACTACCATAATTGAACAACATCTGTTGTTGACAATCATCACTATAATTACTACTACAATATGATGATATTGGTGATGATGATGATGATGATAATGAACATGGACTTTGTTGTCGATTATTATTGTTATATGGATTGAACATCATCAATGATTTGTTATCATTCATAATGGCCGGAAATTGATCATAATTTTGTTGTTGTTGTTCAACAATCATGTTCGATGTGGATGTTGATGAAGAATCAAAAAATGCCAAATCCGGTTCAAACATTTTTGTAATTGCTACAAAAAAAACGAAACAAAATCAATTAGTTTTGTTGTTGTTTTTTGTTTCAATTAAATCGAAAAAATGTAAAAAAAAAAAAAAATACTAACCATTACGCCAGATATTTAATTCTTGATATAAAATTTTTGCATAATTCCATGTTTGTATATTTCCATCCCCATTATTATTATTCATTGAATTTAATATTCTTTGATGAAAATCTTGTATATTTAATTCACATAATGACATTCCATCCATTGGAAAACCTAATTCAACAACCAAATTAAATGATTGTAATTGATGTAAACGTTGTTGATACATAAGCCATTTTCGTACATCCGTTTGATTCCAATTGTAAGGATCTAAACAACAACAACAAACAGAAAAAAAACAGAAAAAGAAAATTACATTCTGAGAACGAAAAATAAACAATGTCAAATGTAGTGTGAACGGAAAAATAAAAATTGGATTTTAATTATTGGTTCACCATTTGGTGTATGGAGAGAGAGGATATATGGTGGATGCATGATTGATTTTTTTTTTTGTCAAACACATAACATACATAACACACCAAAGTAAATAAGAATTTCCGGTGTTTTATTTTCATTTTGTTTGGTCAGAACAAAAAATCTTAGGCTATTTCCACCGAAACAACAGCATTCGAGAATAGCATGGATAATCCGTTTCGTTATCTACAAAACAAAATCTACATTTCTTACCCAAATTTGACTTACATTTGCCACTGTGTATTATTACTTTCATTCAGGCGACATATAAAAAAACATCAAACATTTTAATCATTTTGATCATTATCTCAGTTCAGTAAATTAAAAAAATTTTAAAGCGAAAAAATTCCAAAGTTTTTTTTTCTAATCAAAATTCAATAATCTTTAAATTTTTTTGGTGTGCTATATAGAAGTATGGCACAAACTGATACTGAGGACAAAATTTTTTTTCGCTTCTTCATTTTTCGCTTCTTCACTGATTATAAGGGTAAATTCGAATCATGCTATGACCGGGTGACCTGGTGACACTATCTTGTGATGCTATGATGATGATAATCATGGAGGTGGCAATGTATCATCGAATTTACCGCAAAGATTCAATCAGATTTCCCCCATCAATTTGTTTAGTACAAAAAACAAACAAACATTCAGTGTGAAGCCGGTTATTTGGAAGAAAAATCCTCGCTGAGAATCATTAGATAAAATATTCAAAAACGAGTATAAATGATCTAAATTCATCTAGTTTTTCTTTTCTAATCAACTTTACTACTATGTCACACACACTATAAATTAAGAATGGTGATGGATAAAATGATTGATAAAATGATTGATAAAAAACAAACAAACAAAAAAAACTTACCAGCTGAAATGGCCAACATTTTACAGGCATGATTAATTTCGGCCATATAATCTCGATTATCATCTAATAAAAATTGACCATCACCATCCATTGATGAACGAGATGACCATGATGATGATGATGAGGATGATGGTGGTGTTCCTTGTGTATCATAATAATAATTATTATTCTGATTAATAAAAGAATCATTTTCATCTTCATTTTTAATTTTGATTGTTGTTGCTATTGTTTGGCTATTCGAACCAATTGAAGGCATTGTTGTTGAAATAGTTTGTCCACTGTTATTATTATTATTCGATTGATTCGAATGATAATGATAATGTGTAATACATTTGATTTGATTTGATTGTTTAATCATAATGAAATTTTGTTGTTGTTGTTGTGGAGAAAAGGTCAAAGTTGAATTGTTGTCTCCTGTTTGTTGATTATGTTGATTGTTAGGAATAAAATCTGGTGATTGTTGCTGATAGACATTATAATTTGTTGCTGCTATGGCTGCTGATGCCATTTTTGTTTTGATTGTTGTTTCAAAAGATGTCAAAATGAGAGAGAGAGACGTCAAATTTCTTCAAGGTAGGTCTAATTTCTTTTCTTTTTTTGCTGAATAGACCAATGAATAGGCGAGGTCAAAAAAAATAGGTAGAAATAGAAAAGATTAACTCTGGATACTCTCTATTTCTACTTGTGCGGTCCAAAAAAAATCTAGAATAAATGAAAGATAAATTGAAATTTAAATACAATGTAACGACATTATTCAAGGACAAAGTAACAAAAAATAGATAAAGCTTTTAACACGAAACTCTTTATTTCTTTCTCTCTCACTGAAACCAAAACTACTACCGGTATTACTTTTTTCAATCGATCAATCAATCAATCAATCATAATTTTCAAATGACAACTTACTTTTACGAAATATGATAATTATTGAGACATTGTAAATAAATTTCAAAGTCAAGTTCAAAGTCAAATTCTTGTTGTCGTCGTAAACATCTAATAACATAACAGACAAACAGAATTTTGAAGAAATCAAAATGGTAGATAGCATTTAAATAGGCAAACAATTTAGTTGATTACCTTTTTATTTAAATACTTGTAAAAAAAAAAATTTTTACAATTATCATCATCATAAAGATTGTAACACCTGGTTACATTATCTGGTTTTGTATCGTTTTAAAAAGAAATCTAATGAAAAAGAAAACAATTTTTTTTGTTTGGCTCGATAATGCAATTGAAATCTAACCATCATTTAGAAAATCAACCAATGACAAATTACAATTACGTAATGAAATTAATTTTTTTTGTTGAAAATAATAATCGTATACGATAAGCAAAACAAAACCTAAAAATCCAAAGATTATCTTCGTGTTGTTTATCTTTGTAATATTGAATCAAATCAAATCAAATTTTTTTTCAAGGATGAAACCAATTTTGATTAGCTGTACTTGAAAAAAAAAAAAATTTTTGCGGTCGGTCCAAACGAGAATTAACAGGAAAGTACATATTGATAAATTGAATTTCTTAAGAAATCAGTAAAAGATTTTTTTAATTAAATTAAAATAATCTTAACAAGCGATTTACGTGTGTGCATAATAAACGATAAGGTAATCCAGCCAGCCAGCCAAAAAAAAATTTGGGAAAAGTCATATGACACACACTCACATCACATATCACAAATCAAATCAATCAGCTATTTATCGATTTGTGTGTGAGCTTGCCAAATTGGTTCGTCAGATTGATTGATTGATTGATTGATTTTAAGAGATTGAAATTCAATAGAACAAAATTTAACTGAAAAATTAGCTTACCAAACACGAGCAGAATGGGTGAAAATTTGTTTTTTTTCTATTTTTGAGAAAATACCACCAAACAAAACAAACCACTTAACAAATAATAATGATGTAATGAATATTTTGGTTTATTTTATTTGAGAAAAATTAAAAAAAAAGTTCAGTTTTCCAAATATGGTTGAATGATTCTTTAGAATCTTGTTTTTCTCTTTCACAAACACTCTCTCTTGCTTTGAAAGAATCATTCCAATTAACAATGGATGCACTCTCACTTTGGTTAGTTAGTTAGTAACTCTATTTTTCTTAAATTGAAAAGAAATTTTCCCTTTTTTTTAGTGATTCGGCCGTTCAATGACCAGAAATTTTTTCTTTCTGTTCGGTTTGGTTTTGTGTCATATTTTCTTCTCGATTGATTCATTAGAAACATTGTTTTCACGGGTGATATTCTTGTTTTTCAAAAAAATGAAAAAAAATGAATGTAGGTCTTGTCTCCGGGTTTGACATGTGTTATATAATCAGACATCTTTTTTACCTGTTTGCGGTGTGGTTGAATGATTTACAGAAGAAAAAATACAGAGTTTTTTCCATTGGGTTTTCCCAGTGTATCACACACACAGGAGAAAAGAAAGAAAGAAAAACCGGGTAAATAAACTAGGTGACCAGCAAAAAAAATAGGTAAGAAATTTAACACCGGAAATATTCTTGTTTGTTTGTTCAAACCATAATTATTGATTCTAAATCAATTAACACCTGATTACTATTACATTTGGTGAAACAAAAAACAAAAATTAAATATCTTTTCACGATTAAACAATAATAATAATTTGCTTGTTTCTTTGTTTCTCTATGAGTGTTATTTATTTATTTAAAAAGTGTGAACAATATTGAGCAATATTTAAAACGTGATTCGTGATGATTTTGAATCACGAATCACTTTGCTAAAATATTAGATATTCTTTTGAGGTTTTAGGCTGAATTCAATGAATGAATGAATGAATACTTCCTTAATATCGATTTTTGATTTTTTAATTTTTTATTTTTTGCTACTTAAATATCATCATTGAATCGTGATGATTCATTAGTCATCAAAATAGTCACGTGATTCACGTTTTTATTCATATTTTTTTCGAAATAATCATCAATATGGTAAACTGCTGCTGCCAATCTATTGCCTACCGCAAAAGGCTATTATTTTGTTCTGTGTTTAATCCGATATAAGGATTAATGTGCAATGGTGGTGAGAGTTTTTTTTAAAATGATTTTTCTCGATGCTGATAATTTCCTGAATAGCCCTCAAGGAATTTCGAATATAGAAAAATTCCAGAAGCTATGAATTTTTGATTGAAATTTTCGCCAAAAAAAAAAAGAATTGGCAAATTATCGGTCAAAAAACCGATTTATATTTGACAGAGAAAAATTATTCATGCAAAACCAAACAGAAACTGGCTTCGATGATTTTTCTTTGATTTGAATTTTTTTCTTTGACTGTTGAAGAAATTCAAAGAAACAAAAAATGAAAAAAGAACAAACAAATTTGGCCAATTCCAAAAAACAACAAAAGAATTTAGTTTTCATTTTTTTTAAACATCTTATCGGTTGAAGAATTTTCTTTTTCTTCGTTTTGTGATTTGATCAAAATAATTGGACTTGAACGGACCAATTATGATGATGATGAACGATAACAAATGATGTTTTGTAATGGAGGGAAAATCGAAAAATCAAATCAAATCAAAATGAAAGTGAATTTTTTTGTTTTCGTTTTGTTTTGTTCTCGAAACATTGTCATTTTCAGCGAAGTGTGTTTAAAATGTGGTAAATTAGCCATAAAAGAAATGGAAATTTTTTTTCATTCAAATATTTCTTACCTGACGATGTCGATGATGGAATTTTATTCAAAATTTTTCAATACAAAACACACTTTGAATGAAGAAAAAATTACAAAACACGTCCACCAAAAAATATTCAAATGATAATCAAATCAAAAAAAACATGTAAAAAGTTTCTTTTCAAACAAACATCTTTTCAGTACAGAAATCAATTCAAGAATGAAGGTAACTTTTTTTTTTCAGTGGTGGTCAATTGGGTAAGACCGAATCACATGAACGACGACAACCTGAATGGCAAGTGAAAACATTTTTCATTCATTCATTGAGAATACCGAGGATAAGGCCAGTCAGTTCAGTTCAATTCAGTGAAATAAAATGATCAGAAGTAGCATAGAGGATGAAATGGAAAAAAAAATATTTAACATAGGGACGGTAACGATAAAAAAAAAAGATGATAATGATAATGGTAATGGTCGACGGTCAAGACTGCAGTATGTTTTTTTGTATGGCTTCAGGCTATGGTAAAACTGAAACTAAAACTATGGCAGGACAAACACATTGATTGAACAACATTCTGTTCGGAATTGAAGGTAAAAAAATCAAAAATAAAATAGATCAAACTGGTCTGGTTGGTTCTGATGTGGTTCTGTGTATGGTCATTATTATCAACCACCACAGATACTAAGAGACTTGTTGGAACCATTCAACGTTCAATTCGAAATCGAAAACTTTTTTTTTGTCGACGACGATGATGATGTTTGCAATAAGCAATATTATCATCAACAACAACGAAAAAAAAATTGATGCAAACAGTAGAACATCTCTTTTGATGAACAAATGATGGTTAGGTTAGGTTAGAAAATTGGTGGAAAATTTTCTTTCAAAGAAAATTTTTCCAATTTTTTTTTGGTAGGAAAAAAAACAGGTAGGTAACATTGTTGAATGTAAAGAAGAAATTAATTGATACAAATTTGACTCGGTTGGGTCGATCAATTGTTGATAATAATGATAATAATGAAGAAGGTTCGACGACTGTATTCAAGGTAAAATGTTAAATGGTAAAGGTTATTATAATTTATGATTATAATTATGATTATGATTATTATGTACCCCTATGGTCGATAACTATTATTGATGCCCGAAAGGCATCAAAGATCATCATCATCAGATAAACACCTGTTGAAGATTTTTTTCATCTTTGGTGATCAAAATATTTTTCTGATTGAAAAAAAATGAAATTTTTGTTTTTTGCCAATTTTAATTACGTTCATTAATTTTTTCTTTTTTCCAAAAATCTAGAAAATGTTGATGAAATCAATGCGCAGATCAAGGATTCAGAAATTTCTACTCGAAAGAATTTAATTAAAGGACATTCAATTCAGTCGTTCGATTCGATGATGATTGAAGTACACCATCATCCTCTCTCTCCCTCTGATGAATTTTTGACAACAACAACAACAACGATTATGATGATGGTGAGATGGGATGATGATGATCATCATTATTTTCTAAACAGATAATGGTCATTGAACATTGAATGAATGAATGAAAAAAGACTATTTTAACCTGACCAAAAATGGAAAGTTTACAATTATTATTATTATTATGCAACGATCTATTGATGATTCTTCTTCATTCGTCCATTCATTTTGGATGATAATTATGATGATACTGGTGACGAACAACGAACAAACATTCAACTACAATCATTTTGATTGACGATTTCAAGCAAGGTCATCGATTATATGATGAAGAAAGTTTTCAAGAAAAACTTCAATTAAATGTTTGCGAAGAAGAAAAACGCCAAAAAACATTTTATCACAACCCAAAACACAGGTAAAATGGGAAAAAAACGACAGTGAATTAGAAGTGATTGAAAGAAAGAATCTCAAGTCAGTCATCATAAACATCAACGAACGAAAAAAGGTCAAGTATCATTATCATCTTTCTTTCTTCTTTCCCATCTAACCTAACCAAACCAAACCAAAAAAAGACCACAAATGTCAAATCAAATAATATGTGATCCGAATTGATTTTCTTCACTTCAATTTTTTTTTACCCAAGAACAATTTGATGATGATGATGGCAACCCTCTGAACCAAAAATGAAAAATTCAAATAATAAAAAAAAATTTGCATCCCAGAACAAGAAAAATTCGTTTCTTCTTCTTCTTCTTTCTGTATGCAAAGATGGGCGAGATAAAACGAAACTAAGAAAAATCCATGTTCTTTATCATCATCATCATCATTTTGACCTGTCATTGATAATTATTGGGTTTGTGCATTTTTTTTTGATTTTAGCCAATGTAGATGATGATGATGATGATCTAAATGGACAAATATTTCTAGAAAGCGAATCTAATGATAATGATGATGATGATGATGAAAAATATCACTTTCTATTTTTTGATTTGGGCAATTTGAATCAGCAGTATACTGAAAAATTGAACAACAGAATTTGATTGTTTTTCTTTTCATTGCATCAATTTTTTTTTCATTTTTTAACAAACAAACAAACAAGCAAAAAGAAAAACAGAAAAAATGATAATCTTCGTAAGTAGAAAATGCCAATTCAATTCATTTATTATGGTTTTGTATGTTTGACAAATTGATTAAACTTTCGTTTCTTTCTTGATCATCATCAGCAAATTAACCCTGAGTGTTGTTTGTTAGCAAGCTAGTCAATGGTTGGCTATGGCCAAACAAAAGTAAAATTTTTTTTTCTCTTATAGCCAGCCGCTTTGTAAAAAAATCATTATCATCATCATCAATATTCACAATGCAAATTGAGTTTACAAGTGCAGGGGAAAAAAATCGATCATAATTCTTCTTGTTTTTCCGTCTTCTTCTTGTGTTTGAAGATAACAATCAAAAATTTGTTCGTGTTACTATCGTTGTTGTTATTTTCCTTTTTCTCTATTGATTCCTTGAATAATTTCCCCCCCCTCCACTGAATAAATCGATCAATCAAATCGAATTGATCAAAACATGATCAATAAGGATTACCAAATTCAAAACAAAAAAAAAGAATGTCTTAATTTTTTTCTTGAAGATCGAATATCAGTCAAATCTTATGGATGATTTTGAAAATCCTTTTTTCATTTGTCTCGTTTGTTTATTCGAAGTAAAGAGATTAACTAAAGGAATCAAAAATCCAAGTAAAAGATTTGAAATTTGAAACAAAATTTCCACCTTTTTTTTGCTTTGCACCCAAATTGATTATCATCAGTAAAACCAAAAGAAAAAAAATTGATTACCATTATGTGATGAAATTGAAAGAAAATGAAAATGAAAAATTCCTATCTTATCTTATCAGTTTTGTCACATTTTAATTATTCTTTCTTTGGATTTTTGTTTTGTTGTCACTTTATCACAATTGGAAACAAAGAAAAGATCATCATCGCTTTTTATCTCTTGCATCCAAATCCAAATCTTTAAAAAAAACAAAATTGATAATAAAGATTTCACAGCAAACAAACAATGAACATCGATCGATTTGTTTGTTTGTTTTGAGAGGATTTACACGAAAAATCTATTGAATTATTTGTCTTTTCTTCTTTTCTTTTCGTTTTGAATAGAGAGAAACAAAATCTAGCTACTTTATTCATTATTAAACTGTATTGGTTTCATTCATTTACTTTTACACACACACACTGATTGACTGACCACCACAGGTAGATAATTGCATCTATGATGATCCACCTGATGATTTTCATTTTCATTTTCTTTTTTCTCTCTCTCTATGTATCTCATCACACACACAGAGCAATTATTGCTGCTTGTTTTTTTTCATCATTTGTTTCCTCTCTACATTTTTGTTGTTTGCTGTTGTTGTTTAAGTCAGTCGGTAAAACCTAAAAGGTTAAGGTCATCACCATCATCATTTTTTCCATTACCATTCTTTTACCTGGTTGTTGGTTGGTTGGTTGATTGTAACAGCCAAAATGAATAATCAAATGAAAGGTCAAGTGGAACAACAACAACTAAAACTAAAACTAAACTAAAAGTTCATTCAATCACTGTTGTATCTCTGTTGTTGAATTATTATTCTTCGAACTAAGAGAAAGGTGAGAGGTTGTTGTTGTGCATATTTCAATGCAAAACAAAATCATTGATGAAATGAAAACTTTAGGAAAAATGAATGAATGAATGAATGGACCTTTTACACAGACATCTCCATAATGATAATGATAAAAAAAAATAATTGGCAAAGTTTTTTTCAACAACAACAACAACAACAAAAATCGAAGGTTTGACAAGCATATATAATAGATAGATATGAAGAGTTTCACTCTCTCTCTATTGACCGACCGATCGACCAACCAAAACTGAATGAATTGAATTGATGATGATGATAAAACGATGGCTATCATCATCATCATATGGACATCTATATAGTGCAAATGGTGGTAAATTTTCTTTTTCTTTTTCTTCATTTTTAAAGGATGCCCGAGGGTACAACATTCCACCATCACTACCACCATTTAGGTAAGAAGAAGATAAAAATGTTAAAGGAAAAACAACAACGAAAACATCGCAGCCGCCGCCAATATCGATAAGATAACCAAGAAAAAGAGAAAATGAAAACTGGATGAAATTCATCAAATCGACAATAATCAAATCGAATCGAATTGGAAAATTTTTATTTAGGGCTTGGCTAAGCTTCTTTTTTCAGTGATTCTCTGCTGTTTGATGAATTTTTTTTCGGGGTAATAAAAAACCGAACGAACGAACGAAAGAAAGTTGTGCCACTGCCAGCAAGATTCTTCAACGACCAAAACCAACTAACTTGGAAAAAAATCTAATCAGAAAAATGTTAACTAACTTCTTAAAATGTGAAAGTTGATGATGAAGAAGATGATCGAAAAACTTGGCCAGAAGCCTTATAATCTTTGTTTGTAATCATCCAGCAGCAGTAAAAAGAAATCAGAAGTCAAGGTGTGTCTTCTTTCTTCCAAACAACAACAATTCTTTCAAATTGATCAATGGGTCAATGATAAAAAAAAATGCGCGTAATGATAATCCTGTCGAAGGAAAGAAAAGTATAATTACGTTGATGATAAGAAAATAATGAAGAAAAAAAAATTTGATTCAAATTGAGATTCTCGCAAAGGAAAAAAAAAGCAGCAGAATAACGACGAAGAAAGTAGCAAATTTTGTTTGTTGAAGCAAATTGGTTTGTTGTTGTTTGTTGTTATTTTCATTATAGGATAAAATTAACTAAATTAACCGCAAACAAACATGGCGAATAGGGAAAAAATTCTACAATTCTTGTTTGTTTAATGAAATTAAATTTTAGAAAAAAAAAATTTTCGAATTTTTACAATCGATATTTATTTGAATATTTTCTTGATCGTTAAGAAATGTTTTCTTAAGGAGAAATATAAATTGGTGAATTCAAAGTTTGTTTTGTCGAAGTGTGTGTGCAATATTGAAAAAAACGAAAAATTGTTTCTGAAATTTTTTTTGAAAAAAACAAACTAAAACAAGATAAAAAGATAAAAGACAGAAAATTTTGTTTGCTGTTTTGAATATGTTACGATCGTTAAATATTCGTTATTCAATGAGTACATTATTATTATTATCGATACAAATGATGATGATAATTTTAATCATTATTAATCCATCAATATCATCATCATCATCATCGGATTTTATACCCGAAACATCAAGACCAATTCCACCAACATCAGATCAAAATAGACTAGAAGAATTTTGTAAAATATTACTTGATAATTTTCAAATAAAAAATCTAATACAATCAGTATCTGTTAAAAGAATTTATGATCCAAATTGGCCACAAAAATATCGTCATATATTAACATTATTGATAAATTTTCAATTATATCGTATACCATTAGATCAAATTAATTATTTTAGCAAAGATGGTTTTTATGCAGCTAAAATAAATATATCATTCTTACCTGATCATCAACATCAAAAACATTTTGAACAAAAATTAACAAATATTCAAGAACATATGATTAAAACAAATCAAATACCATCGAATGGAAAATATTATTTACGATTATTAAATTATTTCAATTATAATGGACAAAAATATCAACATTATTTTTTTCAATCAGATTTAACTAAAAAAATTTCATCATTATTAATGATTGATGGAAAATATTATCCACTTCAAAATAAACCGGGATTTTTTCCATTTTTTGATAATGATCAATTATATTATTCGATTGATCATGAAAATATTAAAGCCTATAATGAAAGTAATGTTGGTGGTGCTGGTGATGGTATTGGTATTGGTGGTAAACTAAATACAAAATTTCTTACATCACCGGGTTATTTTTTATTCAAAAGTTATGATAAAAAAACTGGTAAAAATATTACCCGTATACAGTTTATTTATTTGAATAAAAATTATGGTATGTATATCATCATATGTGTGATGTTTGTAATGTTTTTACTAATTGATTGTTTGATTGACTTTTTCCTTGTAATCAAATAGTTGATCAATCATCATATTATACAAGAAAAAAAAGAGATACTGTTGATCCATTAAAACCATATGCAATATATAATTGGACAAAAATTGAACATTCACAAGTTATTATGATTAAACAATTGAATAATAATAATGATAAACAACAACAACAATCGGATGAATCAATATTTGATGATCAATTAACATTTGGTTTTATTGATCATAATAGTATGATACATTTATGGTTACCATGGCGTAATCCACCATCAATAGTATTTATACCATATTTAAAATATTTTGATGATTCAATTCGTTTATCATATACAGAAATATTAATGGAAGAATATTTTGAAAATTGTCCAAAAAAATTTAATCCAATACCTGAAGAAGCTAGAAAACATAGACAAATTGATTCAACAATTTTACGATATTTGCCAATAGTTTTATTAACATTATCATTACTTATGTTGTTAATATTATGTGGTGGTAAATCAGAAAAAAGACATAAAAAAGGAAAAGGTAAAGATAAAGGTAGAGGAAAAGGAAAAAAGAAAAAAAAACATTCTCGTTCTACACGTGAAGATTCAGATATATCAGCAGAAGGATCTGATCAACAAATGGAACCTGATTATGATGTTGGTGATGAAGATGGTGGTGGTGGTGGTGGTGGTGGTGGTGATCCTAATCTTGAAATGGGAATGGAAGATAATCCAGAATTATATGAACAACAACAACTTGAACAACAACAATTAGAACAGCAACAATTAGAAGAACAACAACAACAACTAGAACAACAACAACAACTAGAACAACAACAATTAGAAGAACAACAACAACAACAAAAAGAATTGCCACCAGATTCATCAATTCATGAAAAACAAGATAAAAACCAACAAAAATCGGAACAAGAAATGAAAATGAAAATGATGAAAAATCGTATGAAAATTGGTAAAGATTTTGATTTTGGTAAAACAACTAAACATTTGGCACAAATATTGGTTGGAAAAGAACGTTCATCACGAACACCACCAGGATCACCAAAAAAACAAATGTTTAATTCAGAAATAGGAAAATATAAATCACCAACTAAAAAGAATGTATCATTGAAAAAAAGTAAATCATCAATAATGAAAAAAATGGGAAAAAGTAGAAAATCGATTAAAAAAGTAAAAGGTGGTGGTGGTGGTGTCAGCAGTGGTGGCGGTGGTGGTGGTGGTATTTCAAGAGGTAATATTCGATCGGATTCAATGATTGGAAATCAATCCAATCAAATGAATACATCAAAATTATTTGCATCACCTGTAAGTAAATTAAGACCCGGACAAAAAGATACAACAAGAAGAAGTTTTCTTGAATGGTTTTTACCACCACAACGTTCAAGTCGTCATATACCAACGCCAAGAAAATCACGTAAATCATCATCAAGAATATCAAAAATATCACCAAAATATAAATCACCACCATATAAATCACCATCATTCAACAATAAATCATTCAATAAATCACCACGTATATTACCAGCCGGTATATCAGCATTACCAAGTATGTCACAAATTTCAAGACCAAAACAAATGAAAGGTCTTTCATTACAATCAAGCGGTATTGATGATCCATCAGCATCATCAATAATTAGTCGATCAACACATTATACAACAATGAGTAATGTACAAGAAAAAGTAGTCAATCGTGGACCAACACATAAATTACATTTTGGTTTTTCCGCTTTTGAAGTAGGTGTTGTACCGAAAAAATCACCACCAGCTAAAAAAAGACGATTACGTGCAATGAGTTCAGATTTAGATTTTGAAAGTGGTATGCAATGAAAACCAAAACAAACAAACACATCAGCACATCATTATTAAACACACACACAAACAGACAAAACACACACACACACAGACAAACACACACACACAATCATCATTCATATCCGCACACAGAAACAAATTAATGAATGAATGGTGAATGATGATGATGAGAGATGGAAATAAAAAAAAACTTTATAATTTTGTTTTTTAAAAAATTTTTGTTTATAAAAAAACTTTTTTTCTGGTTTTCAGATTATCATGGTAAGGTAGGTGTGCAGGCAGAGGGTCCGTTATAAATCTATTTTGGCTTATCTTGTCCCTTTAAAATTTTTATGATGTCTAGTCTCTTCTATGTTTAAAGATAGACCAGACTTAATAAAATTTCGCTCAGAAGGAATGTTGGTTGGTGTGTGTGACCCGCATTTTCGGTGAAGAAATTCAAAAATTCAATATAATTGAATGGTCAAATGGACCTTTTTACTGCTGCTGCTGCTTTTTGCCTGATAATAATAATTATTACCTATGGAACTTTTGATTCATTTCAAAATTACACACACACACCCAAAGCATTTTTCTTTCACCAGCATTATTATTATGATTCTGGTTCTCATGGTTTGATTTTCTGGTTTGGTTTTGGTTTGGTTCAAAGTTTTCAATTTTTTTACTTTTAAAATAAAATAATAATAATTCTTTGGTCACTGAAATGATCAGGTGAGTAAATAGAAAAAGAAAAGATTTTTTGGTTTTTGGTTTTGGAATTTTTGAAAATTCTGGCTACTAGAATTACATGATGATGATGATGGTAATTGTATTCGAGGATTTCTTCTTTCTCGATGATCAAATCGACCGACCTACCGACACTGACATTGGACATCATCAAAATCGACATGGATGATAATTGTTTTTTTTCATTTTCATTTTGTTTGGCAAAAAAATCTACCAAACTAATAACAGCAGCAGTAGGGTGGCAAAACATGCTGTGAAATCTATTTTATTTTGTTGTTTTTTCATTTATGATCACTGGTCTTAGACCCTGTTGATTTCAATGGACCATTGAAATTTCGAAAAAAAGTATGGTGTATGAATGAGATGTATGCAATCATTTTTATTAGCATCATAATCATCATCATCTGCATCTGAAATATGAATGAAAATTCTCTGTTCTATTCTGTTGTTGTTCCTGTGTGTGTAACAATTAAGGTAACGCTTCAATGCCAGCAACACATCACCCAAAAAAAAAACATCAAACAAAACAAAATTGTTTGGTGAGAGATTGAGAAAAATTCAATCAAATCGACAAGGTCAAAATTCTATGTTTTTTTAAAAAAATTAACACTCTTTTTTCCCATGAATTTTCCATTTTTTTCGTTCGCCCAAAACGAAAATTATGTTAGCGAAAAAAAAGGAGGTTTTGCCAAAACATAGAAGAATTTTCAAATATATTTACCACCTACTTGTCAGATAAAAGATGAGATGATTGGTAGTTTTGGTTATCTTCAAATTCATCCAGCTATCAAATTCGATGATTATCTTCGTCGTCCATAAGAATTATCGATGTTGTTGTTGTTGTTATTCGATTGGGGTAGGTTCACGATTGTAAAGTAAAAAACAAAATGAATTGAATTTGAACTTTATGTGAATAATAATGATAATGATTCACTTGATTCTTCGACAATTTTTGTTTAACAACCAGAGAAACAAAATTGACGTTAGCAACCCAATATTGAATTGAATAACAATGATTATCATTGATCTTGATTATCCATTTTGATTTCCTTTTTCTTTCCTTTCCTTTTTCTTTCTTTCTTTTACACAACTTAAGTGTTGACAAGTAATTATTATTTTGAAACAAAACAGAAAAGAAATTAAACAAAGATTTCCTGCCATAAATAATCAAGTGACAATATCAAATGATCGATGATTCGATCATCAATTTGTCAACAACAACAACAACAAATAAACAAAATAAAATGTTTGTCGCAAAGAAATTTATTGATTTTATTGAATTGATTAGTGATTTGTACTTCCTTTTTCTTTCTTAATTTTACAAAATTTATTTTATTATTTTCTAATTTGAGATTATTTTTTTATAGAAAAAATTATCATGAGTATTATAATGATGATAAATTCTTAAATTATACAATGACTAAATGAAATAAATAGATACAAATAATTTGATTATTATTCAATATAAATATTTTCACCATTTATGAGCATTGTTTGTTGTGAATTTGAAATGGAAATTGTATCGTTTTGGTTTCTTGATGGATCAATTTGTTTTAAATGTTGTTGTTGAACAATATTGTTTGTTGATTCATTAATATCTCCATTAGTTTTAATCATTTTCTTTTCATGTATTGCCATATGTTTACGAAGATTCCCTGCTAAATTACAACGATAATTACAACCAATCCAAGTACATGCATGTTTTCGTTCATTTTTATGCATTGCAATATGATCGAATAAACAAGATTCAGTTTTGAATGGTTTACCACAATCAGGCCATTGACAAATAAATTTTCTTTCACCAGTATGTCTTGTACGATGTTTTCGTAATAAATCAATACGATATGATTGATAATCACAACCAGGCCATTCACATCGATGAATTGTTGCCTCATTATTATGAACACGAATATGTTTTTTTAAAGTATCAAGCCATGAATATACAGCATCACAACCTTCAAAAGGACATTTTAATGGTTGATTTTCATGTTCCGTTCGATGTAATCGTAATGAAAAAATATTTTCAAATGTTTTTAAACAAATGTCACATTTTCGTACGATTGAATGTTTTTTTCGATGAACATAATAAGATGATTTACATCCAACTTGATAATCACAATCAGGAAAATTACAATAAAATATTCTACCGTTATTCTTGGCGCTTTTTGACTTTTTATTTGTTTGAGTTTGTTTTTGTTCAAGATTTTTTGATTTTTTCATTGTAGATTTTGAATTCTTCCGTTTTTTCGTTTTACCTTTTAGTTGTTCCTTTTTACTCGTGTTTTTTTCCAATTGTTGTTTACTATTTTGATCTTTCTTATTGTTATCTAAAGATGATTTTTGATCATTTTCAAGTTTTTTGATATTACTTGAACGGTTACGTAATTTTTTCGAACAAACGTATGTAGTTTTTATTGAGCAATCATTATCCTAATCAAAAAAAAGTAAATAAATATCAAAATTGAATTCAAATGGAAAAATTCATCAAATTACCTGAATTTCAATTTCATCCGAAGGTAAAATATGATCAACAGATTCAAGATGGATTGGATTCAACGAAAGACAAACTGATTCGATTGGATCAATATTTTTCTTACAATTTATCTGATTATTTAACATTTCGAATAGCTGAAAAAGATGATCGTATATTTCGGAAGCTGGTCGTTCTTGTATTTCGAATCGATGACAACGTTTCCATGATGATTGAAAAGATTTGACAAATTTTTCATAACGTTTTTTAATTTCAATTAATTTGGCCGGAATGTTTTGTTGTTCACTGTTTTTCATTTCATTATTATTTAATTGAATTTTTAGAAAACGTTCAAATGTTTTGATAGAATTTATACATTGACGTTGTAGGATCATTAGCCGACTGAGCTGATCGATTTTCAATTTGATATTATCGAATAATTCCATATTACGAACAAATCGATCATCATCAAGAGAATTTAATTTTTGATTGAATGAAACAGTTTTTTCGCCATTCTTTTTCGCAGATGATCTTAATTTTTTTGCAGTTGAATTCATGATTGGAAGACTAAGTGTATTGGTTAACGGTTTTCATCAAGAATCAATTTCATCGATAACATCGAAAAAAAGAAATTCATAAATTCATTAAACTTTACTCAATAAATTAAATAAATTTTAGAATTTCGAACAAACAAAAAGAGGCGGTATTGTTGTTTGTTCATTTCGTACAATTCACAAAGATCACGTGATCATTTTAGGCACCACCCCTTTTTTCAACAAAAAAAATTCCTTCGATTCAGTAAAACTATAATTTAATTTTATTTAGTTTTTGTTTATAATCGAAACTGAATTTTATTAAGAATAATAATTAATTGATTAAAATCATTTTAAAATTCATAATTATTGGTTATATTATGAAGAAATTGCTCGATTCGATCTGGCATTATACCGAATCTTATTAATTGTCGCATTTCATATGCCGACAATTTTGCCAGATTTTGTGATTCGCTAAACATTGTTTCATTTTGTGTTATAATAAATTTTGCCACTAACAAAACCATAAATATGATGATTATCGATCGTTTGTTCATTTTTGTTTTTAAAATGTATAGTCTTTTTTGTTGAGATTCAATTGGCCTTATGGTACCGGAGCGTTTCTTTTTTTGAGGGGTAATTCTCAAATGTAACCAATAAACCGTAATTATAAACATTTTCATTCATTATTGTAGTTATTTTTTTTTCATTGTAATTTTTAATTATTTAAAATTAAATTTAAACGATAATCATTTTAGTTTTCAAAAATCAATTGAAATTATTTATTTTCGCTAGATGTCAACACATAGTTAAAATACATAACGATTTTTTTTTATAATTGACACAGGAAGTGGACCAAACTATGTCAATATTGATTTAAAACATACCACCTGAAAATGGAATCAAGCAAAATTCATTAAAAATGATAATGAAATCATGAAAATAATAATATAACGCCGATATACTTTTACCAACATTATAAAATAATACATAAATATGTAATATAACGAGGGATGATGAAATGGATACATATTCGTTCGTTTCAGTTGATTCGATCTTTATATCATCTGCCAATCATGAGCAATGGAACCATCAAGTGTTTAGCTGATATTGCGTCATTTTCACGGTGGTATATATCGTTGTTGATTATGGCCATTCTTTTTTAGGGTAGGACTTAAAGAAACCATGGTCGGAATTGTGTGGTCAAGAAGTTTGTATTAAAGTCGATATAGATATCCCTTTTTTATGATGTTTGGAAAGAAACGATAGGTGAAACGATATCCTTTTATCGTGTGTAACTCCAATTTTATAATTAGTTTAACAAAACAAAATGAATTTAAAATAAAATTTTTGATTGTTCAACATTATGAATAACGAAATCACAAAAATAGTGTGATATAACAACAAGTACATAGCCTATTTTGAAATAAAAAGATAAAATGAAAAAAAAAAATAATGAAAATATGAATTTTATTTGTAATTAAAAATCATTTTTAAAATTCATTATTATTGGTAAAATTGTAAAGAAATTGATCGATTCGCTCTGGCATTTGCCCGAATCTTATTAATTGTCGCATTTCATATGCCGACAATTTTGCTATGTTTTGTGGAACATTTGTTCCATTTTGTGTTTCAATGACTGTTACCATAATCAAAACAATTAAAAAAATTATAATCATTCGTTTCCCCATTTTTCGTTTTATTGTAGATTCTTTGCTTTGGATTCAATATGATTTGTTCTTGCTTTTTAATCGTTCTGGAGCGTTTTTTTCAGTGATATTCACTGTAACTTTAGAATTATTAATATACCCACTTTCAATCGGTTTTGTAGTTATTTTTTTCCATTGTAATTTTCAATTATTTAAAATTAAATTTAAACGATAATCATTTTAGTTTTCAAAAATCTGGAAATCGAACGACGTAAGTTGTTTGACTGGTTTTTTCTTTGACCTGAAACGGACCAATAAATGGTTGATTCTTTTTGTTAAGCCGTCGTACCAATATTAAATCACCAACCGCAAACGGTCGTGCTTCAGACACTGGACCAGCAGCTAAATCATGAAGTCTTTGACGTGCAGAGGACAGTGCTCGATGTTTTGATTGATCAGATAAAACATAAATGTTCGGATCCATAGGAGCCAGCTGATCAGGCGTAAATTTGAAAATTACAATGTTTATGGTCACATTTTACAAACTTGATATTTACTACTACATTTTACAATAAACAAAACAAACAAAAATTTGATAAACAAGATAACGTTGACATTTTTTTTTGAGCAACTTGAATACACAAAATTGATCAATATGGTAAATCGAAGCAAAAAAAAAGACTGTTATTCATTCGAATGATTCTGAAATTATTTCAAAAAAAGTTGAATATTCATATTCATTTACAGTTTTTGTCCTTTGGATATACACATTGTATATTGAGAAATTGAATAGGATAATTTGTGTAGAATGATTTAGAAGAAAATAGAAAAATTCCACAATAAAGGTGAGAAACAAATTGAAAAAGAAATATTTTCGAAAGTGATGAGTGTAACGGATTACGGATTTGTGCTATAGGAAATCATTCATGCATATATGCATGTTTATATGCAATAGATAAAATTATTGAAATAATCGGTAAGTGTAATGAAGAAATGAAACCGTTCACAAACATCGTGCTTCATATCTAACCGCAAAAACAATTGAATTTTAGATGGATTTTTAAGAAATTAAAATTTTAATAAAAACATAATGAAATAAAAAAAATTTAAAAATAATTGTTTTTTATAATGTAAAAAACAATGATTGCAAATGTTATAATCATTTCAATCAATTTTTGGTAGTGAATTTTCACCAACCATATTATATTTAGTTGTGATAAAATTATGTGAATAATGGCATAATTTACACAACAAAAAAAAATTACAAATTAAAATTGAATTAATAAAATTTCATTTTATTTATATAAAAACATGATAATAATAATCATGATAATAATACATGAATATTATTATTATAATATCGGCGGCAAATATAGAGATAAAAAAACAAAATATTAGAAAAAAATTTCGATTCGAAAGAAGGTAATGTTGCTGGCGATAATTCCTTCAAAAAATTTTCCCATTACAGGCCATAATGAGATAGATGGATAAGAGCGAAATCGTATCTTAAAATTCGTGAAAACAGTTGGCTCGAGGCTCTTTGGTGCTGATAACGCAAATGTACACAAATTCGGGTTTGCGATAATTAAAAATCAACGCCATTGTAGTATTTATTAATTGTTTAATTGAAACAACATTTTTGATAAATATCAACCCAAAAATGGGAATTGATATTTTTCTTGCTATTTTTTATTGATATTTTTTAAATTCATCTTAATTCAACACACATAATTCAATATTTCGAAATTTAATGTTGAATTAAATTGAAAACACCTTATAAATAGGAGAGAAAAGACAAATATTGACATCCGATTTGGAAATAGCGTGTGTTCAGCATGCTGCATTTGTTTATATGTTTTATGTGTATGGTGTTTGTTTGGTGATGAGTAATTTATACGTTTACATTATGTAGTGGTAGTGAATTTTATTTATTTGGAAAAAAACAAAGGTGTGTGTTTATGAAAAGATTGAATTCTTTAAAAAGAATTTATTTATTTAAACATACATTTAAAAGAAAAAAGAATTAAAAAGAATTTGATAAAATTTGAATCACATCGCATCGTTACACACCGGTTAAAATATTTAAAATCTTATTCAATTCACATGACGAATATAATTAGCAGCAGCAAGAGTTAGAATGAAAATAAATATGTATCGTTGATACATTTTAGCAATCATTATTATTATGTCCAAACATAAATAATAACAGGATTTTGGATACATTTTTTTTTTGGTTTGTTTGTATTTTCTTTGAACAATAATCTGATTCAATACAAGATATTTTTTACACGCAAGATGGGTATCGTGAATGGTAATTTCCAATGTAACCAAAGCTCTGTAATTATATACATTTTTATTAGGTATTGTTGAAAATTATGATTTGATTAAATTTAAAAAAAACAATTTATTAAATAATTTTCATTTAATTCATTTTCATATCCAATCGAACAATTTTCAATATGAAACGTCATTTAAAAAGTAAAATTTGTCTAAAATTAGTTATTCTCGTTGTAATGTAGAAATTTATGAAATTTATTTAAAATCAAACTTAATAAACATTCTCTCATGTTAATTTTACAAAGTGTTGTGAATTTATGATAATTTGTTTTGTAATAATTATGATATTGATACATAAGAATTGGTTCATTTTAAATTTAAAAATATTATCGTGTTTTTTTTTCGAAATTCAAAATTTAAATTTTTAAGCCAACTTATGATTCGAAAGAAGGTAATGTGTTTGTAATTCCTTCAAAAAATTTTCCCATTACAGGCAATAATGAGATTGGTGGATAAGAGCGAAATCGTATCTTAAAATTCGTGAAAACAGTTAGTTGGCAGTTAGCTGGTGCTGATAACGAAAATGTACACAAATTCGGTTTTTGCGATAATTAAAAATCAACGTCATTGTAGTATTTATTAATTATTTAAATTGAAAAAGCATTTTTGATAAATATCAACCCAAACACGGAAATTGTTATTTCTCTTGCATTACAATATTAATTTCCTTGAATTCATCTTATTTTGCACATAATTCAATATTTCGAAATTTAATGTTGAATTAAATTTCGAAAACACCTTATATATAGAGGAGAAAAGAGAAATAAACAAAAATTCGGAAATAGCGTGTGTTCATATGCATGCTGCATTCATATTTTTGCATGTTTTATGTGTATGGGTGGTTTGTTTGGTGATGTACGTATACATTGTTTACTTATTATCAAATTCGAAAAAAGATAAAAATTAATAAATTTTATTTAGAAACATATTTTTATAAAAATTTCATAATTGATTTCATTAAAATGTTAAAATAAATGCAAAATTTTCTCCCCGATCAATTTTTGGTGGAATTTCGAACCATTGCGAATTTTTGGTCTGGTAGCTGCTTACCAGTTTGTTTGAATTGTTCGATTTTATCTTTTTGATAATTTGTCGATAATTTCTTCCGGCATAGTTGTTT